CCTACAGCACCAGGTATTCCCAAGCAGTCACCCGTCTAGGTACTGACCCGGCTCGATGTTGCTTAACTTCGGTGATCTTATGGGAACTTGTGTTTCAACGTGATGTGGGCATAAACCAGTTAGATAGATAGATAGATAGAGAGAGAGAGAGAGAGAGAGAGAGAGAGAGAGAGAGAGAGGGGAGAGAGGGGAGAGAGAGAGGGGAGAGAGACACCTGCTACATTTATTTTCATTAACACGCAGGATTACCGACAATCAATGGGGCGGTATGAATCTACTCCCCTCATAGAGCTATTGGGTTGGTGCATAATTATCAGGCGTTTTTGTAGTCGATTTATTTGTTAATAAAAATTGCTGTTTTGTTTACTGATTTTAATAAAAATATTATTTGATTTTCAAGTTATAAAAATGCGTGTCGATCATCATACGCTCCTGAATAATCATTTAAAAATGTTAACGTTGAATTGCTATGTTTTTTTTTTTTTCATAATAAATATTGTTTAAAAACGCCCGATAATTATGCACCAACCTAATATTATGTCACACATGGCTGCTCACAAGATTGCATAAAGGACAAGGACAAAATTGCCCTTTCCGCCAACCACTATCTCGATGGCGTTGTCATCGTCCGACACTTCCTCATTACCGCAATGAGGAAGGTACTGCTGCAAGGTTTGACGAAAAATAAGGCCATCCTAAAAATGTGTCTCGACTCGTGTATCCATATGTAACTGAATCCGAAGTCACACTAAGAAGAAAATAAACACTTAATGAATTATAGCTAAACTTCATGGGTAATATCAACGAACACTCATCTTGAGGATAAGGGTTTTAAAAGTTTCTACTGGAAATGTATCACTTTAATTCTTATCGACTCTCGAGAGAATTTTATATCTTTGATTTCAATCAAAACTTTCAAAGAATTCACAGTTTTGGGTTTTTGATTGGCTCGGTTGGCAAAACAGAGAGACAAAATAGACGTACATTAATAATCAATATGGAGTCCTAAGTTTGATCCTCACTAGGTGCACCTTGGCAAACTAAGATAATAGTAGTAAACAACGTCATCTGTCTATATTTCTGTGATGAAGTATTTTAGTTGTTTACATTTTTCGGACTTTTATTCTCATCATATGACGACGTTTCGGCCGATCTACGCTCCGCCCTTCTTCAGGTCATTGAAATTTTGAACTGAACCCTTTATTCCGTCCACTGAGGTAGATTTTTCTAGTTCCACATACCATGTCTCTCAAGTCTCAGTTATCTACTTTTTACTCAATTCTCCAATGTAAATTCTCTTAATGTAAACAGCATCAGTTCGGATAACTGAAAGAAAGAAATAAGTTTCTTAAAAAAAAAAAATAAGAAAAAAAAAAGAAAAAAATAACAAAAACACATACTAATATATTAAATTGGGCCAATATATTCTTAAAATTCTTTATTTCTTGGAAAAGTGACTTCGAAATATCGGTGAAATATCCAGCAAGAGACGGGAAAAGATCGAACATTATTAGATTAATCAATATGCTTAAACTCCTACAACTTATAGGCAATTAGTGATCGAGTCAATTGGTACGTCTGCTGCGAGGAAGGTTGGTTAAATGTGTCGTACCAAAAAAGTTTTTCTCGTCAGAATCCATCTTCAACCTTTATAAATGAACAATTCTTCTGTTTATTGAATATTATTGCCATATTTGGTCTGGTGCTCGCACTGTGAATCACGAGATTCTTGAGAAAATCCAAAAAAGGGTCTGCAATACAATTGATCCTCACCAGGCGTCTCGTTCCCAGTCACTTTTTTACCAACATGACGTGGCTTCCCTCTGTCTGTTCTAAAAATATATTCGGATGATGTATTTTTCTTGGTTCCTTGACTAAAAGAATTTAAGCGTGCTACTAGGCCTGAAAGTTTTATTGTTGAACAAGCTAGATGCAAATGCCACTTCTAGTCTGTTTTCTCGCAATTCCCACCTATGGAACGCCTTTCCGAATTCTTGCTTTCCTGATAACTACAATGTTAAAAAAAAATAGGTTCGAACACAGATAATCAGCAATGGTAAGATTTTACTTCCACTTCTTTCTCTCTATAGGTATAAAGAAAGAGTGAAAGGAAAAGTGACTGTTAAAGATGCATCCAGTGCCTTGCATATGTACTCCACCTATTTAATATTTTTCGCATTTTGTGTTACCAATTGGAATTCAAATTGACACAAATGGTCTTTTTGCCTTTGGACCAAACACAAAATGCACAGTGTTTTGAAGAGACGAAGTGCATTTTATTGTGACACAAACAATAATTAGAACAAAGATGCCATCTCTTGGCTGCATAAGTATTCAACCGTGCTTTGCGCCAATACTTGTTAGAGTCACCTTTGGATGAAATTACGAGAGCAAGACTTTTTGGGCATATATCTGACATTTTTACCCTTTTTTTCTGATCGGATGAAGATCCTATGTGAACACTAATTTTCAAGTCTTGCCACAAATTGTATTTAGGTTTACGTTTTCATTGGCCCCATCTTTTAGTATGTGTTGTAGTATACCTATACGATAATGGGTATGTCCCCATTCACATAAATACAGTAGTAAATACTGCATGATGGCCTGAAGTTGGAGATTTGTCTCCAGCTGTGCTGGTCAAACTCTCTGCCTCCGGGCAGAGAGGATCCCCAGACGAAACTATATCGAAGGGCAGGTTTAGAGATATGTAAGATAGATTCCGGAGAGAAAAATTGTCTCGCCCGACACAGTAAACCGACTTCCTTAGCAGCTGATCTAACAATGGATTCAATATAATCTTTCCACTTCCTGTCAGCTGAGAACATTAGCCCGAGAAGGCGCAACAAGTCACTTTCCTGGAGGTTAGCATCAGCCATGCTGATAGAAATCAAGGAGGGTTCTCTCTGATAATTAATGGAGTGAAGTTTGGTTATGGAAGCTGTAAAATGGACAAGCCATCTTTTGCCCCAGTTAACGAGCGTCTTGAGTTAGTTTTGTACATCAGCTGTCATCTTGACCTTGTCGGACTGGTCAGCCTGATTATCGAGGCAGATGTTAATGGTAGTGTCGTTAGCGTAGATGTTAAGTTGGAAGCTGACGTCAACGGGGAAGTCGTTACTGAAGATTAAGAACAATGTAGAACCAAGGATGTTGCCTTGGGGGCACACCCGTTAGTACGAATGGATGCAGATAAGTGGCCGTTCAATACTTTCATTTCAACATTTGATAGGAACGATTGGATCAGCTCAAAAATGTGCCCGGAAATACTGTAACTTTTACAGCTTCTGGAGAAGACCTAAATGCCAGACACTGTCAAAGGCTTTCGAGATGTCCAATGCTACAGCCTGGGTTTCACCGTTTTTATCTAGAGCACGATAGACTCTTTCCGTAATTATCGTTACTATATCAGCAGTTGACAGGAAGAAACGAATTTCGCATTTCTTGTTTGAGAGAAGACCCTGTGACAAGAGATTACGAACCAATTACTCATTGATTTGGAGTTTCCCAAAGAGACGCAGAAGGCTAAAAAGCCGATAGTTGGATGGGTCGAACGGTTTACCAGTCCTTAAATATTGAAACAACAGGTGATGATTTTCAGCAGGCAGGAAAACAGGAGGCAGTGAAGCATTTATTATACAGTTTAGAGAGAACAGGAGCTATATCATCGAGCCCAAATGCTTTGTGGGGATCAAGGTTAGAAATGATAGCGGAAACCATGGAAGGGGTTATATGCATATCACTCAACAGGAATCAGTTCTAAGTGGGAAGTTAGGCAGAGATATTCCAGATAAGTTGAGCTTAGAAAGAATTTACGGGCAAAGCATTCAGCTTTGTTAGCAGAGAATGATAACACCTCAAATCGATTGAAGAGGGGGAGAATAGAGACCTTGCACTTATTTAGTACCCAGTTACAGAGACGCCAGTAGTCGCGAGAGCCAAAGTTGTTGGATGCAATGCGGTGTTTCATTCTCTCAGCAAACTGGGACTTAGGTCCTTCGAGGACTCGTCAAGACTTACGACAAGAGCTGTCATGCTGGTATAGCCGGAAATAATGATTCCTGTGTGCTATGGCGGCCGAGCAGGAAGAGGATTGCGATTTTAACTGATATTTTCGAGAAGGGATGAAAGCAGACATGCCAGCTTTGACTGAAGAAGAATCCTGAGTGGCTTAATTTTCAATTTGGAGGTTGAAAATTTCAGTCCAAGGGCGTCCCGAAGATAATCCCAGAATGAGTCCCAATGAGCATGCTGTTAACAGACAGAGCTATTATGGATAGCGGGTTCCTGTTTAATGGAGGCTTAGAGATATCAATAGCTACCACAGAGCTATTTGAGTTACCAAGAGGACAGTATTGTGAAGCTCGGCAAGGAAGATGAGAGAAGGTAATAAATAGATCCATGGCACTACATATATCCCGGCATTATACGACTTTTGATCGGGGCAGCCTCTCTAAGCGTTGTCTACCAGTCGGAAGCAGCAGCCAGCAAACAAACAACCCAGTACCCCCATAATGGAAAGTAAATAATTTTGAAAACGAGTTAATATTTTCCACCCACTCAACTATTTTGTGTGGGTCTATTACATAAAGACACAATAAAAACAAAATACATTTAAATTTGTGGTTGTAATATGACAAAATAGGGAAAACTTCATGGGAGGGATGAATACTTATGCAAAGAACTGTACACGCCTATTTACTTTCACTATCTATTTATTTTCTATCTGTCTATCTCATCCTGTGAATTATCTATTTATATGTATATCTATATCTATATTCATTAGCAACTTATCTTCCATCTCTCATTGTATTAAATATCTATCTATCTATCTATCTATCTATCTATCTATCTATCTATCTATCATTATTAATTATTTGTTTCTCCATCAATATGTCTCATTCAGTCTATCTATCTATCTATTTATCTATCTATCTATCTATCTATCTATCTATCTATCTATCTATCTATCTATCTATCTATCTATTCAGTGTTATATCTATCTCAATCCAGACGGTGTTTATCTATGTATTTATCTGTCTCAGTCTGTTTACGGTGATATCTATCTATTTTCATGTAAACAAAAATAACACATATTTACAATCAGATAGATAGATAGATAGATAGATAGATAGATTAAATTTATAGTGTACATAATTGGGAAAGAGGACTGGGAGAATTTGACATTCACGGCTCATAATGACGGCAAGTGGGGCAGTGGAATGCAGTGAATGGCCCTACCATTACGACCTTGTCTATGTAGTTGGCAGAACAAAGACTAGGAGTGAGAGTAAAAAGACAAACTGGAACTTGTGGAGAGCCATTGATAGCCCACGTCCTGAAGGGAATACATCTAGCCATATTCATTAACTTTCGTTCTCATTCTCTTATTTGTATATCTATCTATTCAGTTCATTATCTAATTTTATTCATAATATTATATCCATCTATCACAGCCTATCTATCTATCTATCTATCTATCTATCTATCTATCTATCTATTCAGTGTTATATTTATTTCAGTCTATACGGTGTTTATCGCTGTATTTATCTTTCTCAGTCTGTTCACGGTGATATCTATCTATCTGTCTATCTATCTATCTCTCTATTCAGTGTTATATCTATCTCAGTCTATACGGGTGTTTATCTATGCATTTATTTTCTCAGTCTGTTTACGGTGATATCTATCTATCTATCTATCTATCTATCTATCTATCTATCTATTCAGTGTTATATCTATCTCAGTCTATACGATGTTTATCTATGTATTTATCTTTCTCAGTCTGTTTACGGTGATATTTATCTATCTATCTATACAGTGTTCTATCTATCTATCTATCTATCTATCTATCTATCTATCTATCTATCTATCTATCTCAATACATTCATAGTGTTTATATTTATCTATCTATCGCAATGTTTTCCTATGATTATTACGTAATTCTTTAAAATGTAGATATTTCTATTGCCAAATACTTTTGATTTCTATTATTAGTAGTTACTGCTTTTGTTGCCCGTTGCTTTCATCACGTATTCTGATTACACAGACCTACATAACGAGCAAAGCTTCTATTGTAAAACTTGCCAGACACGTATAACAAAAAACAGTGAAATTGGGACGCTGTAGCTCAGCAAATCATTATAAGAATTAAAGAAACCATTGCTGTTATTCAGTGTCACAGATTATAACTTACACAAACGTAAATTCAGCTTCCTGTAATATTAGTAGTATTGAAGGCATAATTTTATATATTGATATATAGAGAATATAGCAATTTAGAATATTAATGGATTGCCTAAGAATAGTTGTACTTCAGTAATAGTTGTTATAAGTTTAGAGAGATTTCATTCTCCACTGCTCTAACACTTATGCTGATTGCCGTAACAGTGCAAATTGTTATGTTTTAGGCTTTCAATGTGGTTTTACATTAACAATAATGCGGTTAAGATGGCGTCTTCTTTATGTAAATAATATAGTTGGGAAGTACAAAAGCCGACCATATATTGCCATGTTTTCCTATATATATATATATATATATATATATATATATATATATATATATATATATATATATATATATATAGCACGTCGGATCAAATGACAGTTCCCATCAGGGTTACAGGTTCGATTCCTGTCGGAGAGTGCACATTTTCTACAAAATTTCTCGATCATTCAGGCCAGTAAATGTAATTAATATTGTTTAATTAAAAATTAGAGCATTTAATCAAATAAATAATATCTTTAAAAATAATGTATAAGCAGAATATATATATATATATATATATATATATATATATATATATATATATATATATATATATGTATATTTAGACAGCATATCATCATTCAAACATATTTCATTGAATTGTATCGACATACTGTGTCTACTGAATTTTATAATAAACCTTTGCAATTGTCTAATCGTTTTCTTGATGTTAAGATGAAATCCATCAAGGAAGACGGCGTAGAGTGTTTTTTTAACCCAAGTACTTTCGACTTTTCTAAGATTATTTTCATGGGTAAATTACAAAGATAAACTTACTATAACTGCGATAAAGTCCGCATTCCGTTGTCATAGTGATTAAAAAAAAAAGACGCGCGAACGTGCTCTGGCATAGATCTTTTAGAATTTTAAAAGTTATCAGTTGCAGTTAGGGACTTTTTTACAACTCAATGATTTCAATATCAGGGAGTTGATCGGAAATTGATAGAAATGTAAAATGACATTGATGTTATATGCACTTAACTATGTTGCTGCCATATATATGTAATAAATTTTGTTGAGTGTTGGTCAGTTGATATATAAAGCCTCAAGTGTTTGAAGATATTTTTATTTTTTGCGTGGTGTAGTATATTGGTGTAGTCAACAAGTAAATTCCTGTATTTTGAAAGTGGACAGGAATATGTTTTTAGATGTTGATATATATATATATATATATATATATATATATATATATATATATATATATATATATATATATATATGTTAATACAATTAACGATATCCAAACAATTTATCTCACTCATGCATGAGGTAATTGGTTTGAATCTAATTAATTGTAATTCACTTATATGCTCTATAATAAAAATTATATTGAGCTCTCTTTTGTGGATCAGTTTTAACGTTTTATGATAATAGGATGTACTTGGATTACTTACCCACAGATTTTATATATATATATATATATATATATATATATATATATATATATATATATATATATATATATATATATATATATATATATATATATATATATATATATATATATATATATGAATAAAAACAAAAGGAAAACTTATCTTAGCCGACGTGACTGATCCTCTGAGGGACTTTATTAAGGCATATATATATATATATATATATATATATATATATATATATATATATATATATATATATATATTAAAGGGAAAAGAGAGCAGAGCAGTTGGTGGCACCAATGGAAAACTTACTAAAAGTCTTAAATAACTTTAAACAAGAACATTTCGAAGAAGAATAGCAATAAGAAAAAAAAAACAAAAAACTAAAAGCAAATACCTAACTACTCGTCTAAGTAAAATGCTCAGTGTCGAGATTACCTAGAAACAGCAAAAACGCTTGAAGACGTTAATTCCAATGAAAGGGTGACCATTGTCGTAACCAGAATATCACGCTCACGCGATCTTCAGATGATATGCATAGCTATATATGTATAGCTGGCCACTCGTACTAAAGGATACTCGTCTACTAGATCGGGAAGCCAATCCTTTTTGCAGACGCTTGCTCGGGCGCATTCATTCAACACCCTGTGGTTTATACTGCAACTATGCTGAGCAGACCTTAGTTGCAGTTTCTGGAAAATAGAGTGTCTTCCTCCTGTGTGGAATTGAAAGTCGGCTTTCGGGTTCCCAATTCCGAGCCATTATCCACGCTTACAGCATCTGATATTCCCAAACGGTGGTCCATCTAGGTATTGATCAGACTCGATGTTGCTTAACTTTACTGATAGTACGAGAACAGGTGAAGTAGTAAGTATAATAATAAAAATAGTAATATATATATAATTCGCAGACAGTAGTGTTTTGCAGATCCTCAGGGTGACTAGAAACCGAATGCCTCAAGCCCGGATCGAAACCCAAACGATTTGGTGTCTGGAAGAAAAATCATTGGGCCATAGAATGGACGAAATTACTCATCATCCCCATGGCCAAAAAAAAAAAAAAAGAAAAAAAACAAAACAAAAAAAAAAACGGAAAAATTAGCTACAAGTCATTTTAAACAGACTCAAGAAAGAGATTGAAGAACATTTACCAGGAGAGCAAGTTGGATTTATGGCAGACAGAAGCACTGTGGAGCAGACCTTCGATTGATGCATTCTAATGGGGAAACATCTGCAACATCAGAGGGATCTGTTTCATAACTATATAGATTACAAGAAGGCTTTCGATAGTGTATGGCATGACGGTTTATGGCAGGTCATGAGGAATTTCGGCATAGAGGACGGCCTCATCCAAATCATCAAGACACTGTACAAGTCCGGTCATCGTTAGCAGTCAAGTAGGTGACTATTTCAAAACCATAGATGGCGTCCGTCAAGGCTGTTTGCTTTCTCCCGGCATTGTTCAAACTCTTTCTTGAGAACATCATGCGAGTAACGCTTCAAAAATTTCAGTTCACTATATCCATAGGAGGGAGAATCATCAACAACTTATGCTTCGTTGGTGACATTGACTAGTTGGGCGGAAGATTGACAAACAGCGTATGGAAAGGAAGCGAACACTGAGAGGAGGAAAGTCCTGATCAACATCAGAAATCAACATCAGGGCCCAGATATTTGTGAACGGAGAACAACTGGAAGAAGTGGACGCATTTAAATATCTTGGCGTTACCCTCATCAAAGATGGACGCACTACAACAGAGATCAAAACCAGACTGGCTATGGCAACATCAGCAATGGCAAAACTCGGTAAGATTTGGACGATCAAAAACATCAGATTTCCGACAATGAAGCTCTACAAGTCCCTGGTGTTGTCTATACTGCTCTATGGATGTGATAGCAGAAACCAACAAGAAAGTCTAAACATTTGAAACGAAATGCTTCAGACGTCTTCTCAGGATCTTTTGGAGAGAACGGTAAAAAACAAATGATTTTGTACAGGGCCAAGTAACACAACTGGCAGGCCTCTAGGAGCCCTTATTCGTAATAATAAAGATGAGGAAGCAGTCCTTTAAGATAACTTGTAAGTTGATAGACACGTCGGGGGAAGCAGTTCAAAATCTGGATTGACAACATCAAAGAATGGACACTCCAACGGTGTTTCGTGATGCAGAAGACATTTGGTTGGCGGTAGCTGGCTGCATCCTCGACGCTTATGTTCCCTTCACAATCAGTTCGGATGATAAGAAAGGAATGATCCCCCCCCACACACACACACTCACAAACCTATTTTTCAACATAATCTCTTTTCTGGCAATGCGATAATATAGACTGAAAATGATACAGTGAAAATTCATAGAACTGTGTGAAAAATGAAAATAAAATAAAATTAAAAAAACCCAATAGAAATGGTTCACCGGTGTGCCAATAGAATGCTCGATGCCATGGGGAACAATAGGACTGTGGCAAAGGAGCTTACTGCTATAAGCAAAAAAGCATATAATAAGAATAAGAATAAAATAATGAACCCCTAAAGGAATCTGCTATAGAGGTACACTGGAATAAAACAAATTGATAATCAGAAGTGTTGAAGTCCCAATGCCGTCGATGATTCTGTTAGCTCAATGTCACGAAATCATGGTAGCCGCGTGCTTTTTTGAGCGTACTGGCCTTCTTCAAACAGTTAATCGCGCCGGATGATGCTCCATCTCCCAGAAAGCTTCGCTCAGCGAAATCGTATTATTATACACAGGATTTAAAAAAAAATATTAGGATTTAAAAAACAAAAACAAAAAAAAAACCACAAATGTGTCAGAGCAGCCGTCTATAATAATAGTAATATGTTTGTCAATCGAGCAGACGGCTGTTCGCGGAAACAAGATGACGACCATTATCATTATTATTAGTAGTAGTAGTAGTAGTCATAGTATATTTTGGGGCAGCAATTTTTCAGTTATGCGCATTTGATTCAAAAGCAACGGAAGTGTCTCATTGACTATATTTATTGACTTATTATTTTTTTCAATATTTCTAATAATTATTTTAAATTTCTAGTTGGTGGTGGTAAATAAAAGTTTCCATGTCTAAAGACTTTCGGCTAACATTAACCATTTTCAAAAAACGTCTGGGCCGTGTTATGTCGTCAGTTTATTTTTTATTAAAGATTTCCTCTATTCACATTTTTTAAATGAAATATATTTATTATGTTGGTCCGAGGTTGGATGTAATTTGGTTGCTCTTTCGTGACTTGTCTTTTATGGTCAATGCCTGGAGCAATTGCAATCGTTTTTTGCAATATAT